AAAACGACAGCAACTTGTCTGTTCCCCTTCCCCCAATTCCCCAGCACTGTTCCCATCCCCCCAATTCCCCAATAAAAAAAATTAAAAAAAAAAAAGAAGGCATTTTCTAGTGTAACCACTTTGAAACACAGACTGGCAATTCCTCAGGTATTAAACAGAATTACCATATGAAGCGGCAGTTCCACTAATATACCCAAGAAAAATGAAAACATGTCAACACAAAAACTAGTACATGAATTTCCATAGCAGCATTATTCATAGCAGCAAAATAGTTGAAACAACACCAATGTCTGTCAACTGATACATCGATAAATGAAATGTGGGATATCTATACAATAGAATATTATTCAAAAATAAAAAGAAATGAAGTACTGATACATGCTACAACATGGATGAAACTTGAAAGCATCATGCTAAGTTAAAGAAGCCAGTCGCAAAAGACCACACGTATAATTCAATTTATGTGAAATGTCCGGAATAAGGAAAATCTATAGAGACAAAAAGTAGATTAGTGAACTTCACTAATCTAGGGCTAGGAGGTTGGAGGGAAATCGAGGTTGACTACTGATGGGTATGAGGTCTTGAAGATGGTGAAAGTATTCTAAAATTGTGGTGGCGGTTTCACACTCTGTGAATATACTGAAAACTATTGAATTGTACATTTTCAATGGGTGAATTACATAGTATGTAAATTATATCTCAATAAAGCTGTTTTAAAAAGCATTTACTGACAAAACTCCATTTAGCCAATCTAATTAATTCCTTGGACAATTTTCTATACAGAACAGTTCACTCTTTCATTTAACAAATATCTTTTGAGGGCCAGCCGAGTAGCGTGTTGGTTAAGAGCTGGCTTGGGACGCCAGCTCTGAGCAGCAGGGCCCCAGTTCGGATCCCACATGAGGGCCAGTGACACTGCCCTCTACATCTAAGATGGTGAACAACAGCTCGACCTGGAGCTGAGCTACCGTGAGTTGCCAGCTACAGCGTAGGCTGCAGCCCCTGCTGCAGTGGGCTGCCATAAGCTACCATGTGTGGCCGGCAGCCAGCATGAGCAGCTGGGAGCTGGTGTGAGCTGCCGTGAGCCACCGTGAGCGGCCGTCCAGAGGCCGGTGACCAATCTGCCTCAGCCAGGAAGAGCGCAATGATAATACCAACATGGGCCAATGAAGCGACCTCCTCCATAACTAGACTGAGGAACAAAAGGACAGCAACTTGTCTGTTCCTCTTCCCCGATTCCCCAACGCTGTTCCCCTCCCCCAATTCCCCAGTAAAATCTTTACCAAAAAAAACTAAATATCTTTTGAGTGTCTACTATGTGCCAGGACTATTCTAGGCTATTGAACCATTTCCGTTATTTTTCACTTTAATTTTTTTATGAAATTATTTTCCTCCCTATTTTTCTCTTTTCTGTATATTTTATAATGAACATGAGTGATAAAACAAGTGTATAGATCATAATATCCTAATCCTGAGATAATTGCATAGGCTGTTATTTTTATGAAGAAAAAAATGTTACCCATCAGACCTAATTGCTGTTAACATTTTGAAATATCCCTTTCCAGTTTCTTCTAGTTCATTTTTTACATGGTTGAAGCCAAGTTACATATACAATTTTATCTTGCTTTTTTTAAACTGAACATTGTAATAGTATAAGCACATTCCACATTACTGAACATTTTAGCTTGTTATTTAAGTAGTGGCATAATATGATGTCATTCATCAACAGACTGTAAATTAAGTAATAGTTCTGTTTTGGATGTTCCTATTGTTTCCAGTTTATTCCTTCTCTTACCTAAACTGAGCTCTTTCCCATAAGCACGTGAATGTGAGGTACAAGCAAGATCTGTGATGATGTGTGGACAGCTGAGAGTCTTTGTCTGAAACTGAGCAGGGTAGTCGGGATTGCATATCTAGATTTTAAAATAATCCACATGGGCAAGATAATTAAAGCCAGAGACAGCATAAAGAACAAAACACAAGGGCCAAAGGATAGAACCTTGGTAGAAAAAGACCTAATTAAGGAAAGTGAGACCAAAACGTTGGAGAAGAATGTGGCATCCCGGAAACTGAGGAAAACGCTTGAGAGAACAGTGGTAAGCTCTGCCTATGTGATGAAAGAGCTGCTGGCTTTATTTGACAGTCAGTAAGCCTTTGGTGAAGCTTGTTATTATTATTGAGGCATAATTGACATATAACATTAGTTTCAGATGTACAACATAATGATTCATATTTGTATATTATGAGAAATGATCACCACAGTAAGTCTAGTTAACATCTGTCACCATGCATAGTTAGAAAGTAATTTTTCTCTTATGATGAGGACTTTTAAGAGCTGCACTCTTAGAAGCTTTCAAATGTGTAATGCAGTATTAGCTACAGTCACCATGCTCTACGTTACATCCTTAGACTTATTTATTTTATAACTGGAAGTTTGTACCTTTTGATCCCTTCACCCATTTCACACACACATCCCTACTCCCCACCTCCGTCAACAACCAATCTGTTCTTTTTATCTATGAGCTTGTTTTTTTGTTTCTTTTGCTGTTTTATTTTGTTGGGTTTTTTTAAGATTCCAAATATAAGTGAGATCATACAGTATTTGTCTTTCTCTGTCTTACTTATTTCACTTAGCAAAATGCCCTCACGGTCTATCCATGCTGTTGCAAATGGCAAGATTTCCTTTATGGCTAAATAATACTTTTTTTTTTTCGTGTGTGTGTGTGTGTGTGTGTGTGTGTGTGTGTGTGTGTGTATTTCAATATCCATTCATCCATGGATAAAACACTTACGTTGTTTCCATATCTTGGCTATTGTAAATAATACTGCAGTGAATATACAAGTGCATGTATCTTTTCAAGGAATTACTGTTTTGGGATTTTTTGGATAAATACCCAGAAATGTAATTACTGGATGATATGGTAGTTAGTTCCATATCGGCTGCACTAATTTACATTCCTAACAACAGTGCACAGAGTTCCCTTTTTTCCACAGCCTCTCCAACACTTGTTATTTCTTGTGTTTTTGTGGGGTTTTTTTTGGGTTTTTTTTAATTGGGGAATTGGGGGGATGGGAACAGTGCTGGGGAATTGGGGGAAGGGGAACAGACAAGTTGCTGTCGTTTGTTCTTCAGTCTAGTTGTGGAGGACGTTGCTTCACTGGCCCAAGTTGGCACCATCATTGCGCTCTTCCCGGGCGAGGCAGATCAGTCGTCGGCTTCTGGACGGCAGCTCACTGTGGCTGCTGGCCGCTCACGCTGGCTGCTGGCTACATACGGTAGCCCATGGCAACCCACTGCCACAGGGGCTGCAGCCTACGCCGTCGCCTATTTCTTGTGTTTTTGATAATAGCCATTCTAACAGGTATCTCATGGTTTTGATTTGCATTTCCCTATTGATTAGTGATCTTGAGCATCCTTTCATGTACCTGTTGGCCACCTGTATATCTTCTTTGGAAAAATGTCTACTCAGATCTTCTGCCCATTTTTTAATTAGATTGTTTGGTTTTTTGCTGTTGAGTTGTATGAGTTCTTTATATATTTTGGATATTAACCCCTTATCAGATAAATGATTTACAAATATTTCCTCCCATTTGGTAGGTTGCCTTTTCATTTTTTTGATGGTTTACTTTGCTGTGCAGAAGCTTTTTAGTTTAATGTAGTCCCACTTGTTTATTTTTTCTTGTGTTGCCTTTGTTTTTGGTGTCAAATCCAAAAAACCATCACCAAGACTGATATCAAGGAGCCTATGTTTTCTTGGAGTTTTATGACTTCAGTGCTTACATTCAAGTCATTAATCCATTTTGAGTTAATTTTTGCATGTGATGTAAAATTAGTGGTCCACTTTCATTCTTTTGCACGTGCCTGTCCTGTAGTTTCATTTGAGTCATAGGAGCAGAAACCAGGTTTCAAGTGGTTAGGGAGTGAGCAGGTGGTGAAGCAGCAGGAGCACTGAGAGTAACTGTCCTTTTGGTAAGTTTGTTCATGAAGAGAAGGAGAAACGTGGAATTAGGTAAATGGGGGGAAACAGGAGCAAACAAAGATTTTATTTTATGTATTATTTTTAGGATAGAGACTTGAACATGGCTATAGGTTGGGGCAAGGGAATAGTGTAAGAGAAAACGGATACAAATATTATAAAACAAATCCATGATTGAAGGTCTGTTTTTCTGTTGTCTTAAAACTTTTTTCTGTCCTGGAACCTATTTACTGTTTTCAGAAGAACTTCTCAGGCTTTTTCTAATCAAATGGTATTTCCAAGCATTGTGGCTTAGAAACTAGCTTACACCCAGGAGTTACTTTATCATAATGAAGTGAGGAACTACCCATAGTATTGACTTTGGACTTTACATGTCGCTTCATTTCAGTTTAGTGAATCATCACTAGCATAGCAGTAGAATGAACTCATTTATTGACATTGGCCTTCTAGTCAAAAATTATATATTTCCTGCTCACAAATGCAACCACATTTCAAGAGCAAAATTGCTGGGAATTCTCTAGTGCTGGTGTCTAAACATGAAGTTATTAACATTTTATCTTCTGTTGTAATGTATTGAGGCCAATTTAGGGTCTCTTGAGGTATTGTATCTTTAAAAGTGTCAGCTCTGTGTACCATCCTAGACATCAAGGTTTCCCCTTATGGTTAAGGAATGATTTCTGGAAAGCCCAAATGAATATCTTACTTGGACTGTCCTGTGGACATCACTATTTCCTCTATGTACAAGGCAGAAACAGTTTTAGAAATCATAGCCTCAGGAAGGTAGTTAGAAAAGATCATTCATAGTCCTTGCAAAAGAAGGTAATTGATTCCAAAATTTTGCTTGTAGGCTAAATTAGTAAAGTACCTTTTATAAGCAACCATAAATTACCTTTATCATTTCTATTATAGAAAAATAAACTCAATTATTAAGTTAGTAATACAGATAATATGCATTTGTAATTATATACAGTTGAGAACTGTAAACTCTCATTGTTCTAATAAAGTGTAAGACTTCCTGAAACAACCAGGAATTCAGTAATTAATAACTGCAGTATCAGTACTTGCCATTTCCTAGTTTGAAAACTAAATTACTGATAGTAAGATGCAATCTGAAAACTATTTTGCTAAGGTAGCCCATATAAAACCAGCATACAAAATAATTGAGAAGTTATTTTAAATATTCATTGCAATTTTTCTAACTCCCGTACTTACTCTGCTCCCACTGGTGTTTATTTACTTCCATGTGAGGAAAGGTGTCAGACATGTCGAGTAGCGCATTTGTGATGCATAAACATCAAGTTTACACTGACTGTAATCAAAGTCAGCAGGAGCTACCACAGCAGATCTGTGCCACTTGAGAAATGTCCCACGTGGATGCTTGGTACAGTCCTTTTACTGTACAGCCCCATGGAATCTCACCCTTTCACCGCAGCACAGATGCCTTCCAGTTGCTGCCCCAGACCTCTTTTCAAAGCAGAGCTCACTAGACTGTGTTGGCTGCCCTGCCTTTGATTTCAGTTTACTTTATTTGCATGAGTTTGTCCTCATTATTATATCATTGTCATTATTTTAAGGGTAACAAGGACAGCCAATTAGAGTCTTCACAGTAGTTTGTAATACTCTTGGTGCTATTTTGTCACATTCCACTCATTTCGCTCTCCAGCTCAAGAATGAAATTCTGCAGTCTTTTCTTCTGTCGCATTCTGCACAACATGGGCAGTGGGAGAACGAGAGGGGGAGGCGAAGGGTTAAGAAATAAAAGAAACGGCAGCCAAGAGTTAAATGAGTGAGGGGCCAAGGGTCTCCATCCTCGTGGACTAAGAGCCCCAGGCCGACACACCGCTTTTATTTCTCCACCCACCCGGAAGTAGCATTGTTCTCTCCACAGTCTGTGAGTCTCATTCCTGAGAACTTGCTCAAGCCAGATTACCCATGCCTGCAAGCTGCTATTACTGAGAGTCCGCCTGCGGTGATGAGACAGATGCTCTGCCTTCACACACCCTATATGCAAACGACCCCAGGGAGATAAGATTATTGTGCTGAGGACAGATACTATCACACCATCAGGTCACTTCCCAAGCAGGTTGAGGGGAGGAATGTAGCTACAGGGGTAGAAGACCTCCAAGTCTCTTTGGGAGCGGGTGAGGACCCATGCCCACCTCCATCAGCCCCGAGATTTCTCCTGATGGCCCCGTTGCAACTGTGCCTGTCTTAGGTTGTTCCTTCCTCGAGGAATCTTACCCGTCATTGACTAACCAGCCATCTTTTGGGTCCAAACAGGGAGATGCAAGGTGTATGAGCGGTGTCCTCAAAAGGGTCAGTTTAGGGGTAAGTGCGGGTGGACAGATGGCTGGACAACTGTTTGGCAACATTCCTCCTTTTCTGTATCTCCAAATAGGACTTGGTGGCCTCTGTGTGCTCTTTCGGATTCCCAACTTCCTATCACTGTACCAGAAAACCCCCTCTGATACCATAGAGTTCCCTTTCAGTGATGATACCGGTGAAAAGTACTTCCATAACACACAGCAAAACTTCATTAAAATCCCGTTTCTCTTGCTCTCAGTATTTTTCATTTGCAAGGCAATTCCAGATGTGCGTATAAAATGTCCCAGGATTTTATAGGAGCAAGAGAATAATTTTACCCCAGGACTCGAGAAATGTATCATAGAGAAAGCTTTTGAGTGAAGTCTTGATTCATAACACCTGGTTTACACAGTGATATATACTGGAGGTGCCAAAAAAAATGTATACAAGTGGACACTTTGGTCAGCGTTGCTCAAGCAGTAGTTTGCCATAATCAGATGTGCCTGGGCACTGATGGCAACCACTTTGAGCACCTCTAATTGCAGAAGTCAAACATGACTTGTATTCATCTTTTATTATCGGTATATATTGATTACTACAATTTTAATATGGTTTTCCTTTCTTAAAATGTGTGTACATTTTTTTATCACCCTCTGTATATTATATCATTTAATTTTCAAACTACCTCTTGAAATAAGTTTTTTATACCATTTTATAGATTCAGGCAGAATCTATAAAATTGATACGTTTATCAATTTGTAGCTGAGTACAAAACATTTCGTAAATGAGGAAACTGAATAGAGGAAAGTAATTTG